TGAACATTTAACAGCCCAGTGCGTCCTGTTCTCTGAACAATGTGGACGTCTGACCGACAAATGCATACAATTACAGTCTGATCGAGGAATTCATTCGTAGCAAAACTTCGTCTGTCGAAAAAACAAAACAAAGAACAAAATACAAGCGCAACAGCGAAATAAAATATTTTCACTTTTTCCACAGAATGAGAGGATGTGAACTGAATTCATCTGACTCAAGACAGGGCCCAAAGAAGGGCTGTTGTGAAAACGGTAATGAACACCCAGGTCGCATTAAAGGCTGTGAATTTGACTATCACAGCAATTATTTAGCTTTTCAAGGGCAGATCAGCCATTGGAATTAGTTATGTAGACGACTGTCTGCTTTTACGTCTCGCAGAAACAGACCGACGTTTCGGAGATGCTTACTACCACATCGCCCTGATGATAGAGGCAGTAAGGTCCACCGAAACGTAGTTTTCTTAGCATATATTTAAGACTATAATTTTACACTTCTAGTAGCTTAAACGATCACGTAATTATCACAATCTAAAACATAGTTTGAGTCCTGAGCAACTTAAATTTTATATTTTCTGACAGAACGAGGAGAATGGATATAAAAATATAATATAGGTCGGGTATGACACGTGTTTATGATTTATTCCACTAATTCGTAAAATTTTAATGCCGGGAATGTGCATCCAGCGCGTTTTGTTTGCAAATAAACTTGTAACACGCATGCCTTGACATAAAACCGCAGTCACATTTATAGAACAATAAAAATTACATTTGTGCTCGCAAGCACATTTTGTTATTCACTTTTGACAGAAGTTAAGATGACTTAAACTACATTAAAGTAACCACATAATAACTCACGCGCCATCAAACGGTGACGGTCGGAAAGAGAAACAGTTGACAGGTGAAATGCGACAGGACGGAAAAGGACAGTAGCGCCTCACGGCAGAGATATGAAACACTGACCGAAACAATGGACTGTGCTCAAAATCATTCTCGAACACGTGCGTAAAATAAAATGGTACTGGAAATAAAGAAACTGGATGTCTCTTTCGGTTCACTTTGTAAAATAAGAATTCCTTTCACTATTGCATGAAATACGGCCCCTAATGCACATTTTATCGCCTAAATAAAACTAATTTTACCTACGTAAAAAGCTTGCGTACCTTTACAAATAATCTCGAATTATTATTATTATTTGTTCTTTACATGAACTCCTTTGCGAGAACGCATTGTGGTCTGGTCGCGTCTGTCTGTCCGTCTGCCCAGTTGATTGAACTCGAAAATCACTACACGGATTTCGACGAAATTCGACGTAGAGGTTGTGCCATTCAGCACGACCTCAGAATCTTACTTACGAATATCCTACGGACAGTGATAACAAAATGACAGATGGATAAATTCGCGAGGCAGACGCTGAGGTGCTGCGATCTCGTGAGCAAAGTAGGAATTGTCGAACAACGCGGGTCTTATACCCCTAAACGCACGTTGCAGAGAACGCATGAAGATATTATGATTATTCGGGTTCGAAATACACGCTTCGGCAGATTTACCACCTGTAAATCAGCCCCGGTACATTTCGGATAAGCGGCTGGTTTGACATCGGTTTCTATTTAGATATGACCTTGACTTTAATGAGAATCAAAACTCGGCAGTCCTGCTGGAAACCCACTCACTGTACTGATCGAGTTGCATCAGCTCCTGTGTTCGTAATAAACAGTCCAAAATTCAAATTTCTGTAGTGACTCTGGTGACTGGTCTAAACGTTTGCATTCGTTGGTATCCTAGCTTTTTCGCCTATCCTTCGAATGCCTTCTCGATATAAACCAGTATAAAGCATTAATTACAAGTTTTAAAGCAGACAAATGCAATTAAATTTAATTTAAGTCATCCTCTGATACACAGTTCTTAAAGACGTGAACTGCTACACGACTTGAGAAATGGCTTGGAGTCGATCGGCCCGTTAGCTCAGTTGGTTAGAGCGCTAATAACGCGAAGGTCGTGGGTTCGATCCCCCCACGGGCCAATTTTTTTTCAACCCGTTTTTAGTCCACTGATGATTTTAAAAGGATAGACTTCAAAGAAAAATATCAAACGTGCTTCAATTTTCATCTTCAACAAGCTGAAGTGCACCTACGATCTTGCTAGACGTTTTTCAACATGTGAGATTTGATGCTCTCACATCGGTGAAAGTGACGTGTTCTTCTGGATTGTTACACCGTGAGGATGGACTAATAAGGGAATACCAACGTTTCGGTCGAATATACTGTCTCCATCTTCAGGAAAATTCCTTCCATGTTGTGCTGTACTAACAAATATGTATTTTTTTTAGAATACTGTTCCCATGATTACTTTGTTGTTCACCAGTAAAATGCCACAAACAACCCAAATTAAATTACGGGTATGAAATGTTTACTTTCTCGCTGACAATTTCATATGTTATCAAAAATTACAGAAGTTCTGACTGAAAAGTCTGAAAGATACTAAGGAATTCTTGAGTATTCTGTAACGATATGATTGACAACAGGAGGGTAATTTTCAGAAAGGCCACGATATCATGAAATCATGGTCTTGGTTTAACTCATTACATTTTTGTTCCTTGCTCTCTCTACCGACAAAAATCACAGAGGCACCGCCTATAAAATGAGGCTCCTATACGCAGAGTTACGCGAGTTATCTCCATGGATACGTAACGAACGCATTTGCCTTTTTCCATATACATAACTTCAAAGGACGTTTTGTCAGCAAAGTGTTGCAGAATGTAACCGAGCATAAAAATGTTTAAAAAGTGCTGATAGCGATTCTAGTAGTCTTTAAATGAGACTGTAACACATTATAACGATTTCATAACCTCCCCCTCCTCCCAACCACCGCAACTCTTCCTGTATCTCTAGTCTGAAAAAAAAGTACAAAAACTTTTTCACACGTAAGCTATTAAAAGGCGCGCTGTAAACAGATGTACACTTTTTAAACACGTTTAACGACACCCGTTAACACATGCACCGTACAGCTTACTGTGTGTTCTATCCGAAGAACAACTTTTCGATTGTACTTCGTCGAAAAACTACAATATATAAAATACATTTCAAATAAACGTAGCAGACCTTACGTATTGTATAGCAGTGGTGTTCGACCTTTTTTGTTCGCGTACCCCCAGATATAATTTCTCTTCAACTTTGTACCCCCAAAGGTGTTGATGTATTATTCAAGTTATACGTAGTATATAATCTACATCAAAATAAATTAAATAAATTACATTACTGATTATTCAGTGTTTATCGTAAAATAATATATATATTTTTTTAAATTTCACG